CTCTCCCCCCCCCTCATCCTGACCTCCCCCTCCCTCTCCCCCACCCCTCACCCCCACGCACCTTCACTCAGATCCTTCTGCTGTTTCTCCAGCTGTGACTCCAGCAGCTTCATCTTTCTTCCCACACTACCCCCTAGAGAAGACACTCGTTCAGTGTCCGGACAGTAGTACCACCCCTCGGCCCCGCCCCAGGCCCCAGACCTGGGCCCCCTCACCCTGGGTGCTCAGGGCCTTGACCTGGTCCTCAGTGCTCACAGTGAAGTTGCTGAGATTCTGCCTTAGAGACAGCAGATCGCCCCGCAGTTGGGAGTCTAGGCGAGAGAGGATGTGGGTGTGAAAAAATAAGTTGTCTGCGTCCACGCACCACCGCGTCCATCGCTCCCTCACACACACCCGAAGCTGCCCAGCCCTGGCCACCCACTTTGGGATGCGATCACACAGACAACCACCAGCAACAGGAGGCTGAGGCCCACGGACACCAGGAGGAGGCGGGATTCAGAGCAGAGGCGACGCCAGAGCGACGGGGTGGGAGGCGGCCCTGCAAGAGAAGGAGTCAGGAGTTCACGACCCGGGCCGACCCCGTGTCGATCCCGGGGTCCTAGGAAGAGCGCAGGCTGAGCTCTCCAATAAACTAAGAGAAACCATATACATTAAGAAATGTGGGCCGTGGGCAACCCTGTGGGGCCGGAAGCAGCCTAAGATGGGGAAGAAAGGGGGTCATCTCAGAAGTGCAAAACTTTGACCTGCCCTAGCATTGCGGGGCCCTGAACCTCTGCTGCCACCTCGTGGCATGATACTGTCATTACAGACACTACACAGTCTGCGCCTCGGCACCTGGGGCGTCCCGGCTCCACCCAAGTGCGGGGAAAGGTGGGTTTCTTCCTCTCCACGTGAACCCTGTGCATCTTTGGCTGCAGGGAGAGAAGGCGGATCTCTCTCGGTTGGCGAGAAAATAACACTCAGTCCTGTCAGTTGGAGTGTGGCGCCCTCTCCCTTTCTTCCTCCCCAGTACTCCTTCCTCCTCGCACACTGGCCACCCCGGACACCCCAAGAGCTCTGACCTTGTTCTGCCTACCCAACAGTCCATGTTCAGAGGACAAAGTGAGGAGCTGATGGGTTTGTTTTAGATGCAGGATGTTTCCTCTTCCATCAGAGCAGAGACTCTCAACGCTCTCTCCCAGGGTCCTCAACCTACCCCTGGGATCAAGCTGATCCTGGTCACCCCCCACCACTGCCACATACACACTGTCAAAACTGAAGAGAACAAGGGACCTAACTTCAGAAGAGACTGACAACAAATTCATTCCCCAGCCTTCCGCAGGCCCAGAGTCTCGGATCCACCCTCTGTCTGGGGTTTTGAGAAGTGAGTGATACTTTGAGGAAGCTGGGGTGACTGTCACTAAGAAGGACTCCGACACTGTGCCCCGTACCCACCTCCCCAGCAAGCGTGACTCGGCCTCTGTTGTCTGAGTGTTTGGGACAGAACTAGGAGTCACCAGGGCAAACAGGAGCTGAGTTGAGGGACAGAGCCATGGATCCTTCCAGCGAGGAGCACCCCTCACCTCTCCGGAGTTGATGATGGTCATTCTCCTCATTGTCCAGGTGCTGGAAGTCTTGATAATCCTTTGTCATGATAGCGCTGGGGCTGGGCCTAGGGGAGCCAAGTTTAGAGCCGGGGTTGGGGCGAACAGGCCCAGAAGTCCAGTCGATCCCTTCTACATCCGACTGGGTGACCTCAGAAGAACAGCACCTTCCTTCTCCCTCCCTCTGCTCCCAAGCCTGGCATCCAAAGATCTATCCCCTGGCTGGGCATGGTGGTGTATGCTCTTAATCCCAGCACTCAAGAAGCATACGCCAGTGGATCTCTGAGTTCAAGGCCAGCTTGGTCTACATAGTTAGTTCCGGGCCAGCCAAGACTACATCCTAAGAAAAATCTATGCTCTCCCATTTACACACACACACACACACACACACATTCACACACACTTGTGCACGCCCACGCGTCTGTGAACTCGCGTGTGCAGGACCCCTCCACCCACTCTCACTTGCCTGTCATTTTCTCGCCCTGCTTTACTTACTGAAGGTCCCTCAACACCACAAAGAGCCCAGGCTAAGGAGGGGGCTGAAGACTGAAGAATCAGGTGGACCGCCCTGGACAATGCGAGGGGAAGGGACAGGGTCCATCCAAGGGCCCTGCGTGTCTGGCTGGCTGTGTGTCTGAGCACGCTGAACCTGGCATCACCAATGCCAGGACTTTGGACCTTAAACAGAGGTGGAAATAGATTTGGAACTAGGGAGGTGTTTGGGCAGAAGGAGGGCATGGGTGACCTCTATGCTATTTCTCAGAGAAGGGGAGTCTACACACACACACACACACACACACACACACACACACACACACACACACGTTCACTTTATGCCCCACTTCAATACTCTTTACATTTTTGTGGAGGGAGACAGTCCTAAAAAAGCCAGGGTGCCTCTGCTGTTCCCTCTCAGGGCCCTCCCCCTTTCAGTGCTGAATTTCCCAGAATTGTCCGTATCTCCAAATATCCCTGACCAGGATCAGAGGTACCAACTGATCCCTGACTCTTGCCCAATCCTGCCCTGCGACCTTGGCATTATAGTTGCAAGCTGTAGCTTCTTAGGGGCTCAGCTCCAGGCTCCCCAGCCCTAGCCTGACCCGCTCACTCCCCTGTGGTCCTCCAAGCAGCATGGAGGGGCCATGAGGAGCAGTTCTTCTCTGGGATTGGAGCCCAGAAATCCATGATTCTGCCACAGGACTTTAACCTTTCTCGTCCCCAGAGAACAACCCATTCTGCAGGCAAGAAAGCTGAGGCCCTGAAAGGCAAGAGCTTGCCTTCCTGCCGTACTGCACCGAAGAGCGCAAACTAAAACATGAGCAGCCCTGTACGCTGCCTCCAGCACTTTACCCAGAACAGGGTTTCCAGCTGGTCCACACACTAGGTCCCCAGGTCCCCAGAGATGCTTAAACATGGCCCCTCACAGTCCTGAGGGCTTCAGAGAGGCCTGCCAGAACTCGGCCTCTAGCTTGGAAAGTGAGCAACATTAAAAATATCCACAGGCCCCATGTTAGAGAGACTGGACTCCGACTGCGGCCGTCTAGATCCTAGGAGCTATTCAGGAAGGCATCGCTTACATAAATGCAACTGCTCTGTGTGTCCTTGTTTGTCTGTGTCCTAAAAATCCTCATGTTTACATGGACTAGGCTTGCTGCCAGTGATTTTGGTGAAAATTGGGCCATTAATTTAACACTCTCTGATTTTGCCACTTATGATCTAGTTTATTCTGGCAAACAAGCAGACACGGATCCAGTCTGAATAGTAGTTACACTCACAGAGGTAGCAACCGGCAGGGAGCAACGTGGGCTGTAGAGGTGAGGGAGAGGGGTGTAGGGGTGAGGATGCACCTAGTGTCTTGGTCTCTGGATGTGGTGACACACCTTAGCATTGGCTTGTAAAACTGCAAATGCTGTAAACTTGGGATTTTTGCATCTTTCTATTTGCAGGTTGTGCTGGAAGAAGGCATTTTGAAATCTGTACCCTAGAGCCATGTCCTAAGAGAGTAGTATTGGACTAGTGTTGAGTGTGTGTGTGTGTGTGTGTGTGTGTGTGTGTGTGCGCGCGCACGCGTGTGTAGCTTTTCATCCCTTTCCAATAGATTTCTATTTAGATAAATACATTTTATAATGTATGTATAATAGACCTGTACATTGGATATGTGTATTAGTTGCATATTATAAAATAATTACCCCTCAACTTAGCAACTTTAACAATAAACACAGGTAGTCTCACTGCAAAGACCAAAGTGCAGCTTAGCCCATTGGTCCTGGCTCAGGATCTCTCCTGAGGATATACTGAGACCTCAGTCAGTGGTCGTGTTCTCTGGAAGACTGGGCTATCAGGACCTCTCCTGAGGATAGACCGAGACCTCGTCAATGGTCATGCTCTCTGGAAGACTGGGCTAGGGCTGGGAAGTCAACTGACAGCGTGACTCACTCAGATGACAGGCAAATTCTGCTAACTGCTGCTTACAGCCCCGGGCTCCTCACCCGTGGGCCTCTCCACAAGGCTACTTGAACGTCCTCCTGACGTAACTGCTGGCCTAGCCTCACAGCAACAGCCCACCATTTCCACACAGTCCTACCAATCTCTTGGGGGCAGCTCTCCTCATTGTGGAAAAGAACTAACAGTGTAAGTCCCAGGGGCCGAGAATTCCTGGGACCGTCTTGAAGGAGTGAACACATACCAGGAGGACACATGCTCAGAGATGCCCTACTGATATCACTGTATGATCAAGACATTTAAAGATGGTGTGGCTACACTACAGGGCCATGAAGAGTTGTAGCTCCACAGGAGACATCCCTTGGTGGTAGACAGCTTCCCTGGCATGCCCGAAGCCTTGGATTCAGTCCCCGGGACTACAGAAAAAGGAAGGGGGTAGGTTCTGGCGAGACAATGGTGAAGCCAGATATCTGAAGTACGCAACAGCCTGCCTCGGAGTAGAACTTGGGTCAGAGGGACTAAGTGGCCCAAAGGCCATGGGACCAGTCAGGAGTGTGCCTCTGAAGGGGATGTCTTGTCCTGGGACTCTTCCTCCCCATCTCCGCTCCCTGGCTGGCCATTCCGTAAGCAGCTGTCTCTACCACACCCCCACCCTGCCGTGACGTTCTGCCTCACCACAGGCCCCAAGGGATGGAGCCAGGGGAGAGTGGACTGAGCCCTCTGACACCCTAAGACAAAACAAGCCCTTCCTCCCCTAGGCTGTGTTCTCAGGGATCATCTGCCAACAGCAGCAACAGCAACAAACATGGACGGAATCCCGGAGCAGGGCAGAGCAGAGAATGCGGCAGACCAGGGAGGCCAGCTGGGAGCTGGAGGTGACCAAGAAGAGAGAGAGAGGTGAGTCTCCTTTGGGGAAAATCAGAAAGAAGGAAGTGTTTTCCAGGTCGGGAGAGGCCTGAAGAGCTCCGAAGCTGAGAAGGAACTGGCCAAGGTGAGTGTATGAATGCTAAGAATGAGCAAGAGGTACCGAGGGATGGAGCCCCCCTCCCCGTCCCCCCCCAACCCGCCTGCAAGGAGTTATGAGAGAAGCCTGAAGCCTGTTATCAGACAATTCTGGGCTCATCTGGAAGGGGGATCAATGCCCATCTCAAGGGTTTGTCCAAGTCAGAATGCTGAGTCAGCAGCTCCACGTAGGCCCACACTGAGTGCTGGGCGCTGGCTCTTCCTCGCTCCCACTAGCAGCCCAGGATGAGTTGGGTTGTGTCTTGGTTACTTTTCTTTCTGTAAAGAGACACCACGACCAAGGCAACGTATTAAAAAAAACAAAAGCATTTAATTGGGGGCTGGCTTACAGTTTCAGAGGGGTGACCACCATGACCATGACACCATGACAGGGAACTGGGCGGCAGACAGGCATGGCGCTGGGGCAGGAGCTGAGAGCTCACCTCTGGTCCACACAAACAGGAAGCAGAGAGAGCAAGACCGGCGGGCTCTTTAGACCTCAAAGCCCGCCCCTGGTGACACACCTCCCCTAACAAGGTCACACCCCTTAACTCTTCCAAAACAGTTCCACCAACTAGGGACGAAGAAGTCAAATATATGAGGGCTGAGACAGAGCCGGAGAGATTATGTGATGGGTGCGGGGGATAAAGCTGAGGGAAGAGAGGGACAGCCAGGGTGAGGAGATGGGCCCCTGCACCAAGTGTATGATTGGAACAGACACCTCCTGGGGGCCTCAGTACCCCAACACTCCAGTTGACAGGGCCCTCCTTAGGAAACAAAGAAAGCATAGTCCACCCAAGTCCAGCAAGGTCCCTCTCCATCCTGCCTTGCACCTCCCCAATTTCACTCTTTCCAACCCAGGTACACCCCAAGTTTGTAGCCTTAGAGCAATTGGGGCTCTGTGGCCCCAGTGTTTCTGTCTTTCCTTTCATGGGGTGACAATTTTTTTTTTTTGTTTGTTTGTTTTTTTGTTTTTCGAGACAGGGTTTCTCTGTGTAGCTTTGCGCCTTTCCTGGGACTCACTTGGTAGCCCAGGCTGGCCTCGAACTCACAGAGATCCGCCTGGCTTTGCCTCCCGAGTGCTGGGATTAAAGGCGTGCGCCACCACCGCCCGGCTATGGGGTGACAATTTAAGAAAAAGTTTTTGAAATATCAAATGCTATGGTTTGTATGTGATTTTCAGGTTTCTCGAATAACTGAAGGGACCCAGAACCAATCACATTCATTGTGACTACCGTGATCCGCATCCAGGGCTCAGGGCGTTTACAAGCTCTGCTCCACGTCATTCCTCTTAAGGACCCCATAGGTAGGCAGGTACTGTTGCCGCTTTACAGACAGGGAGACAGACTGAGAGGTTGAGCTGACACCAAAGTAGCCTCTCGTATCAAGGGGGCGTCTACCTCCAGGCTTTCTACCGCCCCGACTGCATGTTCTCTCCGGCACCTGGAGTCCTCTTGCCCAGACAGAATCCCGCCACTGTGATAGCATCTCTTCTGTTTGTTTTGCTTCTCAACATTTATTTATTTTTGTGTGGGTGTGTGCATGTGGAGGTCAGAGGACAACCATGTCCTCTGACCTTTCCTCCCACCATGTGGGTCCCACGGAAGGATTTGAACTCGAGTCGTCAGCCTTGACAACAAGCACCTTTTCCCACTAGCCACCTCCCCAGGCCCTCTGACAGAAAGCATGCAAAGGCCTATGAGCCAGATCCTGCTGACTTCTCTGCCCCCTGCTACAGATCCTGCTGACTTCTCTGGCCCCTGCCACACCCCAGTGCCCTCCTCCGTCCTCCAATCTTCCAAACTTAACCCCATTGCTGCTGCTCTCCTTGACACACTCCTCCGCTGTCTTTACCATCATTTATGACTCAACACAGTGTTGCTCCAAGGGAGGCGCACACCTGAACTAGCCTGAGACAGGTGTTTGTACTTCTGAACACAGTTTCTCTATGTAGCCTTCTCTGTCCTGGAACCCACTCTGTAGACCAGGCTGGCTTCGAACTCAGAGATCTACCAGGCATGTTGCCACCAACCGCCCACCTAAACAGATGCCCAACAGTCACTGTACTTACTTAATAGCACTCATCACTTTAACTTATCTGCATCTGTTCTCTCTCTCTCTTTTTTTTTTTTCCATCCCCACTGATAGATCCCAAGTTCCCTGAAACCAGGGACGTTGCCGTCTCTGTATTTAGAACATAAACTGGAA